TTAATAGAAATAAAAATTATAATAATAGAAATATGAATAATACTATAAGAGTAAAATGTTGTAAAGAATAACATGGGTATTTAGAATTATGTTGTTTCAATTAATAATGTAAAGTCAATAGAGGTTATTATCATTAATGTCTTAAAACTGGAGATCATACTCCCCATATGAAGGATTAAAAGAATTTAATGAAATTAGTTGACTTTTTTCATAATATTGATCTTGAAAGTCATATTGTAATATCAAAATTAAGTCAGATGATTGAAGAGATAAAGGATCTAATGTTTTAACTAAATTAAGGACTGAGAAAAGAAAGATTGTAATATTTAAATGCAGAACAATTGAATTCAGCTTTAAATTAAATAATTTAATATGATCAAATTAAAATAATAATATTTGTGAAAATCAATTAAAAAGGAATAAATGTAATTTTAATAAGTTATCATTTAATTTATTATTTCTGTCATTTTACCACTTCCCTCAAGATAGATTATAGAATTGGTATTAAGATATCTAAGGAATTTTACAGTATTGATCTATACGTCAAGATACAATAGGAATTAAAATTAGTTCTATAATATTCAATAATGTTTAAAAATATAATTTTCTCATTTTTTAGTATAACTAATTTTATTTTTTTCTCTCAAGCTCAAATTACCCCAAAATCACAAATAGCAAAATTATATATGTGCTAGCACACTTAAAATTTAATTAAATAATAGCAAAATGACTACCGTTAACAAATACAATTATTCTAAAATATAGGATCAAAAATTTAATTTAGTATATAATCTTTATATCTATATAAACGTAACTCAGTGGCTGAGACCAAAGAATTAAAGAATAATATAACCTCAAAATCAATAATTTCTTCTGGTCATTGCTTCTACACTAAAAGAGTTAGATCTTGCTTCAATAATAGAAAAGACATTAAAATTATTCAAGATGAATAGCATAACAGATTGCATAAATAGATTAGAGAATTATAATTTACATATGAAAATAAAATCTTTATTTGATGGGCTAAACTTAATTAAAATTGTTGGAAGTTGATCCAAATATGAAAATAATAAGCCTAAAAAAATTATCTGACCTCAAACATAATATATATATCTCAAAACTGTGTTAATAGACTAAATCTTTTAAATTTAGGAGAAAATGAAAAAAAATATGAAAGTTTGCTTTAACAGAGGTTGAATTAGCCTGGATGAAGGAATCAATTGTTATAAAACAATCAGTTATCTGTAGAATCACAATATTCCTAAGGAAATTTAATATTAAAAGAATATGATAATTTCTTTTAATAGACACAATTCTTTGATGATTTCTGATTAAAGCTCATATTAAGGTATAGATTTTGGGCATCAGAAATTTATATTTTTAAGGGTTGTTAAGACAAGTTGTTTAGCTCGTGTTTAGTTGATATAAGAATGATTAAAATATTTAATCAGGAAAAAAGAGTTTGTGAATATGTAAGAGAATAAAAATTGAATTTGATATGAAGAAAAAATCTGCTCCTTCCTTTGAAACAGACAGAATAGTAATTTTTTCATATGCTGAATAAATAATAAAACAGAATCAATTCAGATTTTGAAAAGAAGCATTTTTCTATCAACCTTGACAAACTGGATATCCGATTCTATTTTTATATTTCATAGCCACGTATTTTGATTTAAATAGATGACAAACAATTTATTTATCATAAATTTTATAAAAATGGATGTCGGTAATATAATTTTTTCATATTCTCACAACAAAAAAAGTGAGAAAATAATATCTACAATATTCCATTCAAACTAGGATGATGTTATAATGATGTTTAAGAGAAACTGAAATAATATTTGTTTTATTATTAATTTAAATGTATCAATATTATCCAAAAGTGATAGAATAAGAAAAAGATTTGCTGTGCAGATCTCAACACTAACAACCAGTTGAATTTGTAATTCTCAATTCTGAATTAACTTAAAACCAGAGACTCTTATGCAAGTCTTGCGATAGATAGAATTAATCTCAAGAAGAGATTATGGATTATCAGCAACTTAAATAAATCTTTGATAATTAACATAAGGAAAAGATTTTTCAATATGAAATAATAATCAAACCTCACATTTAATGTATTGAAAGCCTTTAAGCAAAAATTGAATCTTTAAAAACAAGATTGATTCAATAACTTGATAATTTGCATTGGTTTTGCAAAGAATGGATCAGTGCCTTATAGAATTCTGTAACTTCATACAGCTTTTTTCAAGAATTAGATAAATTAGTTTCAAAATAAATATCAACAATTGATTCAATACATCTGATTGAAGATATAAAGAAAATTCACAAGGATTGGAACCTCAAAGTCAAGATGAAAATGGATAAATTTAAGCTATAACCTGAGTTTTTAAAATGCTAGGAAATCTTTTAAAATCTTGATCAACTAACCTAAAATCAGGATGAGTAAGTGAGATGTGAAATAATGATGAAAACAACAACGCCATTCTTCTAATCCTTTATCACATATGACGGAAATTACAAGTGGCAAATTGGGACATAAGAGCAAAAAGCCATGATTTGGGATTAAAAAAATTACACATTTATAAAAACCTTGTATCAAATCAGATCTACAAAAGAATAAGAACTATAATATATCAAGGATGAAAAAATACTAAGATGGTAATATTAATATTATATCAACTTTAATAGCGAAAACATTAAAGACCTCTCAGAGAAACTTATTGTGTTAATTAACTTGGAGCAAGTATAATATCTTGAATGGGTGGGGCTTTATGGTAAAAACAATTAAAAAATTGATAAGTGGAAGGTGAAATGGAAAGGCGAGATTATAAAGGATGTTGGTGGATAATACTCTAATGAAGGAAAAAAACAAGGTAGATGGACAGAATTAATTTAGAATTATTGGAGGTAAATGCATTTTATTATTTTTAGTAAAGCCTAAGTATTAGAAGTAGGAGATTATATAAGTAATTATAGGAAAGGAATTTGGGCAATCATTTATTAACAAAAATAAATGTAATTATACACATATTTAGTGAATTAGTGGTGGTGGATTATACAGTTAAGAAGGTAACAAACAAGGGATATGGACAGAGCTGAGTGATGGGTTCTTTGATTATTCACAAGTAACTTATAAAGGTGAATATGCAAATGGCAAAAAGGTTGGTTAATGGGATATTTTGTATAAAAAGAATTATGGAGATTATAAAAATGAATAAATGTAAATATCTATTCAAATATTATAGTGGAGGTGGTGAATATGATTAAGAAGGAAATAGCATCAAAATTGGTAAGTGGATTGATTTGGATGAAGGATTTAGAGATTATAAATAAGTAACTTATAATGGTGAATATCAATATGGTAAAAAGATTGGTCGANTTTGCAACTCTTTGTTCTGATGTTAATTATTTTTTTTATAATGTGAAAAGTTTGAAAAATAATTACTACTATTCACAATTATTGAATCATAACTATTAAATCCATCTCAACTGAGAATAACTCTAAATGATATTAATTATGAATAATCACTATATTTTTCTTAATTTAAACTTATTTAGCATTTACAATTTCTAAGATTAAATCTATAATTTACATAATATTATAATTAAAATTTTAAAGAGGGAATTTGAATTGTGTAAAAAATGACTTTATACAATTATCATTTCTTAAATAGAAAAAATAATAATATCTTTATTAGTGGGTAAATTTGCATAACCTTCCATTTGGATAATTATTAAAATCTTCAATTAAACTATCATTAGCATCAAATAATCTTATAAAACCAATAATAGTTATTTGGGTTTAATATATGCATGATTGCAAGGCTTTCAATTCAATACTTTGTACTTGTTTTAGAATCGGAGAGTCCACAATTGTAAAAAAATAAATAAATTGTTTATGCTATATTCTTTTTGATAGGAATCCTAATATTTAATCAGTAAAGTTTACAATTAAAAATTAGGGTTAAATCTAATCCAACTGAAATTTAATTACTTAAAGTATTCGACTTACATAATTAGCTCAAAGTGTTTTGAGAAGTTTTAATCAACTTTTTTAATATAATTAAACTATTTCAAAATATTAGAGATCCCTGTTTAGATTTAAATATTAGAGATTTGTTATTTTCAGGTTCTATTTCAAGAATAGTAAATGAATCCTACATTTATTTAATATATTATTTATTAAAATTAAGTTCCAGGTGAATTTTATTATATTAAAGCATCTTTGATTTCTTTATATTAAATTTTATAGTAAAGGTAAAATAATCTAAATTTATTTTATATATATTACAGATATCTCATTTTCTTAATACGCCATAAAAGATGTAATCTAAACTTTTATTTCAAACAAATTAATTTATTCGACAATAAATAATATAGAATGATTAATTTACACTCAGATTCCAGACAAACTCTTTAGTAGTAGGACATAGAAGTTTATTAATTGATTGAGAAAGAAAAGAATTTACAATAAAATAGCATAAATTTGATTCCTAGCGAAAATTATACATCTAGAGCAGTGGCTGAGGCATTATCTTGTGTATTTAGCTCCAGATATGCTCCGGGTAATTTCTTAATTTATTTTGCATAGGACCTCAAGGAAGCAAATACGCCCCATAAGTTGAAAATTATGATGAAATAGAGAAACTCTGTTAAGAGAGGGCGTTAAAAGCATTTTAATTAGATCCTGAATAATGGGGTGTCAATGCTTAGATGGGGAGTGGATCTTCTGCTAATTTAGCGATATTTTTAGGTTTATTGGAACCAAAAGATAGATGGGATACTTTTTTTAGTTTTGGTGAAAATTAAAAAATGTAAAAATTATAAAAAGCAAGGGAAATTCAAAATTGCTAGTGGAGGTGGATTATATTATGAAGGAGGTACCATTAAGATTGGGAAGTGGATTGAATTGGATGAAGAATTTTGGTATGAAAAATAAGTAACTTATGACGGCGAATATCAAAATGGTAAAAAAGTTGGTCATTGGAATACATTATATCAAAGAAAATAAATGTAAAAAAATATTGTTTAAGGTTTTTTAAATTTTTAAAACTGTAAGTGGTGGCGGGATGTATGAAGGAGGCAACAAATTTGGGAAGTGGATTGAATTAGATTAGAGATTTTATCATGAAAATTAAGTAATTTATAATTGTGAATACAAAAATGGATAAAAATTTGGTAGATGGAACACTAAATATATGATAACCTCTAGCGATGCTTTCTTATTAATGTAAAAGATATTTTTAAAGAATGCATTTATCAATATATAAGTGGTTGCGGATCATATTGCGAAGGAGGTAATTGTATGAAAGTTGGGGCTTGGATTGATTTAGATGAAGGATTTGATTTTTAGAAATAGGTAACTTACAAAGGTGAATACAAAAATGGTAAAAAGGTCGGTAGATGGTACACATTGTATAAAAGAAAAAATTGTAAATGTTTCATATTCAATTTTAAGTTCATAATGTATTGATGCAGGTGGTGTATATAATGAAGGTGATGGTAGTAAAATTGGAGTGTGGATTGAGTTGGATGAAGAATTTAACGATGATAAATAAGTTATTTATAAAGGTGAATTTAAAAATGGAAAAAAAGTTGGTTTGTGGGTTGAAATGAAGAGAGATATGGATAAAATAGAAGAAGGATTTGAAAAGATATAAGAAATCAAATATGATAATTGAATTATTATTAAAATTCTATAATAATAATAATGATTTTTAGAAAGTTTGTGCTTGCTATTTGTAATAAGAGAACATTAAATAAATTTAGCTATTGAATCATTCTTTATTATAAAGTACACTTCATTGAAATAACCCAATTAGATTACTTAATGCTCTAAGGAATACATTTCAACTATATTAAATTATAGCAACACTATTAATTAAAAAGGTCAGTTTAATAGCTCTCTTATTTATTTTCATTTACTTTTTGTTGTTAAATGAACCCTTTATTCTGATTCATAAAAATAACTTGGATAAGGAAATTATTTCTCTTATCAATTTTACTTCCGAATCTAATTAGCATTTCAAGCAAGCTCAGCTAGAAAATTAACAATAAAAGGAAGGATTTTTATACTAAAAAGTCTATTTCCCTTTCTCCCCCAATATAAAGCCTATAATTTAAGAATTCCTTCTAACCTGAAATATCCTGATTTTTCATAATCAATACATGAATTATTGCTGTAAAAAACTTTCCATCACTACCCAGATACTTGTCGTTCAAGTTAAAATTCCGAAAATTTTTAATTTAGCTTCTTGGTAGTTGAAAGTTTTGGTGATACTTGCGATGTAGGAAATATAATCTGCAATTAAGAGATGGGAAGCCAGGAAACTCAAAAGAAAATATAAAGATTGTAAGCAACCATCATAAAAGGCAATGACATTAGAACAATTTCATATTCAAACAAGATCATTTACATATATACATAAATATTTAAAATTTAATTTGTAATTATTATATTTTTTTAACATTTCAATTCTCATAATCTCTTATTCTGAGGTTCTTGTTCTTTTTATTATTTAAATACATTTCCTACCACGAACCAACTTTTTTACCCATAATATATTTGCCATTTAGTATTTTTTATTTCCAATAATTAAAATCTTCATCCAAATCAATCCACATTCCAACCTTAAAGCCATTTCCTTCTTCATCATAAACTCCACCGCCACTGACGTTTAGAATAATATACTTATACAATATTTTTACATCTTTTCGTTTTCATTCCAGTTCCAATAAATATCCCATTAACCAGCTTTTCTACCCTGTATATATTTTCCTATGTGAGTTATTTATTTTTCTTAATAAAATCTTTCATCCAAATCAATCCATTTACCTATTTTAATACCATCACCTTCCTGATCATAAAATCCTCCACCACTAGAAAATAAAGATATTTTTTATAATGTCTTTACATCTCTGATCCCTCAAAGAAAATATTCCATCTACCTATTTTATTACCATTTTCATAAATTCCATTTAAAATTATTATTTTCTCTTATCTCTGCTCGTATTCGAAATCAGTCCACTTTCCAATTTTAAACTCATTCCCATCTTCATCATATGATCCACCGCCACTAAACCATTCAGTATTAATCACCATATATCAAATATTTACATTTTTTTATTTTGGTTATTCTTTCCTTCCTTTTACTACCAGGTATCCCATAGTCCAATTTTCTTGCCATTCCTATATTCGCCTTAATAGATAATTTATTAGAAAAAACAGGATTTCACATCTATATCAATCCAATTTCCAATTTTAATGCCATTGGAACTTTCATCATAGGACCCACCACCACTAATACATAAGAATTAAGGGCTTATTTTATATTTTACATCAACAATCCTTAGTTTTTAGTTTCCCATTTACCAAATTTTAAGCCATTTTTATATTCCCCAACATAAGTTATCGACTAATAATTCTCATTTATTTCAATCCAATCTCCAACCTTAATGCCATTTCCAACTTCATCATATGATCCACCTCCACTAACACAATTAAATTAACAACTTTATTAAATATTTTTTACATGATCAATCCTTGGTTTTTAGTATCCCATCTACCACATTTTACACCATTTTTATATTCTCCATCAAAACTTATCCACCAAAAATCTTCATTTATTTCAATCCATTTTCCAATTTTAATGTCACCACAATTTCCATCATATGATCCACCACCAATAAGAAAGATAAAATTACAAATATAAGGTAATAATTTACATTTATTCACTTTTAAAATAAATATCCCATCTCCCAATTTTTTTACTACTTTTATATTCACCTTTAAAAGTGATTTATGAATTATCTTTGAATGCCTAACTTATTTCAATCCATTTCCCAATCTTAATTTCGTTTCCACTTTCATCATAGCATCCACCACCACTAAAGCATATAAAGGACAAATAGTAATTACATTTATACTCCCTTATAATAAATATCCCATCTTCCAATTTTTTTACTGCTTTGAAATTCGCCCTTAAAAGTGATTTATAAATTATCATTAAACATTTCGCTTATGTCAATCCATTTCCCAATCTTAAAATCACGATCAACTTCATCATACGATCCACCACCACTAAGATATGTAAAGAATAAATAGGAAAATAACAATTACATTTATTCTCCCTTATAATAAATGTCCCATCGGCCCACTTTTTTACCATCTTTATATTCCCCTTTATAAATAATCTATAAATTATCTTTGAATATCTCACTTATATCAGTCCATTTGCCAAGCTTAATGTCACCATAAACTTCATCATATAGCCCACCACCACTAATGCAAGTAGATGAACAAATAGTAATAATTATTTACATTTATTCACCCTGATGATAAATGAACCATTAACCAATTTTTTTACCACTTTTATATTCCCCTTTATAAGTGACTTATGAATTATCTTTGAATGTGTCACTAATATCAATCCATTTCCCAATCTTTATTTCACTTCCACTTTCATCATAGAATCCTCCACCACTAAAGCATAATAAATTACAAAGTATATACATTTTTTCTCCTTTATATTGAATGTCCCATCTACCATCTTTTTTACCATTTCTATATTCACCATAATAAGTAACTTATTTTACTAATCTAAATTCATAATCTAAGACTATCCATTTTCCTATCTTAACATTACCATCTCCTTCACTATAGAATCCACCACCACTAAAAGTTTTGATGTAATATTTTTTACTAGCATTTTCCTTAAAATATCACATCCCATCTACCAAACTTGTTACCATTTTTATATTCACCCTTTTAGATTATTTAATTATAATCTTTAAATTCTTCAGTAACATCAATCCATTTTCCTATCTTACTGTTTTTAATATCTTCTTCATACTATCCACCGCCACTAATCATTTTTTAATCAAATTAATTACATTTTTTTTCCTTTAATCAAATTAGTCCATTTACCGAACTTTTTCCCATTTTTATATTCACCTTCATAAGTTATTTAAAAGTAATCTTTAAATTCCTCAGTAACTTCAATCCATTTTCCAATCTTACTGTTATTACTATCCTCTTAATATTATCCACCACCACTAATAAATATATGCAATACTTTCTTACTATTATTTTCCACCAATTAGAATATCCCATCTACAAAATTTTTTACCATCCTTATATTCACCTTTATTGGTTATTAAAAAATCATCATTAAATTCCTAACCAATTTCAATCCATTCTCCAATCTTAATTTCCTCACCTCTCTCATCATAAGATCCTCCACCACTAAGAAAGTTATAATAATGACCTTTATATAATTTTGCTTACATCTTTCCTCCTTTATACAAAATATTCCATATACCAATTTTTTTCCCATTTCTATACTCACCATTGTAAGTAATTTATTTTTTCAATTCAAAACCATCATCTAAATCAATCCACCTTCCATTTTTAACCCAATTTCCTTCTTCGTCATATGATCCTCCCCCACTAACTTATTTATATTACAATTTACATTATTTGTTTCTCACAATTTCTATTATTTGCTTTAAACCATACATCCCATTTTCCATATTTTTTAGCATTAGTGTAATTTCCCTTAAAAATAATATGATTTTTGCTAAAAAACATTAGAGTAATCAATTCATACTTATATTTTTCTTAACTTAAATTTCCTTGCAAGTCATAAATAGAAAAACCACTACATAGATTTATTAACTATTATTTACAGCCAATAAAATAATCCTCTTTTAAATTTAAAAATATCCCATCTTCCTACTTACCATTTTGATATTCTCCTTCTTTTGAAACTTAAGAATCTATTTGGAACTTAGTTATTTCAATCCATTTTCCTTTTTTTCTGCCTTCTCCTTCTATATCGTAAGATCCCCCTCCACTAGGTAAATTTCAGAAAAAAATATACATCACTTAATTATTCCACTGAATTTTCCAAACACCAATTCTTCTATCATTCCAATAATGGCCTTCTTCAATTACATTGTTTTAACTAAAATGAATTAATAATATTCATACTCCCAATAATTTTCACACAAATCAACCCATTTTCCTTCTTTTTATCCAAATATATTATAATGTCCACCTCCTACTTATTATCCTTTCCAAAAATAATTCCATTATTTTATTTTATATCCTTTTATTCCGTATTATCCTTTATATTCTAAATATTTCATTTATTCCAAGTTAAATAATATTTGTTCATTTAGTTATCCTAATCTAAACTTTTCTCTAACATAAAAAAATAATATACATCCTAAGTATCTAACTATCTTTTTTATAAACTTTGTCTCCATTTTATTTATCGATGAGATAAAATGTTGTGTTCACTAATTTATTGTTTTACCCTTTTAATCCTTTTAATCGGAGAATAGTTTCTTTTTTTTTGTTATCAGCGCTTTATAAATTATTATCAACTTAATCAAGAAGAAAATTTAAATTATATCCACTTTATACTATTCTTTCTACAAATACAATTATTTTCTATATTTTAGATGTAACCAATTGTTTCCTCTAAATCCATTCATCAAAAGTGTCTTCTTTTAAAAATTTGACAAGGAACTCTAAATCTGCTTAAGAACATTCAAAAGGATTCAAATTTTCATTAACGAGTTTCAGAAATCTCTCATCCTCTTTCGATTAATCTTCAATGATCTTATCAACTTAATCTCTTATATTTTTCATTATTAAAGTTATTTCTTTCTAACTTTATTCAATTTTATATTTCAATGTTTTCATAATTTTGTTAGATTCCAATATCTTGTTCTTATTTAACTAATTAGATTTTATAAGTAATTAGCTCTATAAATCTTATAAGGATATTATTTATTCTTTAGGAATTTTAAATTTTAAACTACATTCCATGCAAACCTTTCTCAAAAGTTCGTTGGTTTAATTTGTAATACAAATACCAACAATTTTACTATTCTGATGCTCTTAACAATAATTAGAACTTGTAAGCATTAAAGAAAATTTAATAGAAATAAATAAATGCTCATTTTAGAAAAAAGATACATGATTATAATGACTATAAATTATAAGAAATATTACTTTATCAAAATATAAATTATATTAAGGGATCGATAAATTAGATTAAAAAGAAAGAGAGAAACCAAAGCGAATAGGTGAATAATTGTTTTCATCAAATCAGAAAATTATATTATAAAATACGATAGAATTTTTAGGTTTTTCTATTATTTCCATATCTATTTGATAAAGTAAGTATAAAGTTATCAGAATAAAGTTAGCTTAAGTTGAATTAGATCTTGATAAAAATTGTGGATTAATATTATTTTTTATTGAATCAGAGTTAACAATACTTCAATTCATTGGAAAAATAATTGTGTGTTGAATTGACTTTAAAAATAGAAGAAAAACGAAAATTCATTTTATAGATCATGTGTGCTCATCCAAAGGATTAAAAGATTTTAATTGTATTAATTATTTTTAATGGTCGAAGAGATAAAGGAATTAATATTTTAATTAAAATTAAAAATTGACAACAATTTCCTTTTGAAAGATTATAATAGTTAATGCAATACAATTATATTAAAAGCTTTGTCTTAGGTAATTCAATATGATGATAAATAAATTTGATAAATCAATTTTATTCAGATAATAGGATCAAATGAAATAAAATACTAATCAATCGGTTGAAATTCCACTTAAATCAAAGTAGATATGCAATTAAAATTCATAAACAATGAATCAAGAAAATTAATATTAATTAAATAAATAAGAACAATCAATAGTAAAAAGAATTATAATTCTAAGCTATTCATATCATTAATTTAGCGTGCAAACTATATTAGATGATGATAAATATGAAGATGCAATCAAATTATTAGATGCAGCAATATAATTGATCAAAATCATAATCTTTAAAAGATATTAAAACTATAAGTACATGTATTAGCCTTGAGTTTATGATATAATTATAGTAAACATATGGATGATAAGAAATTTCTTGTTGATTATTTCAAATACATCTAATTTATTAAACTTAAATAGTTTTTCAACATTTCTAAAATAGGTTCATCATTACAGGGAGTAGGTCAATATGAATAAGCTATTAAGATAATTGGATGAGTATTAAATTGTAATTCACAAATCCTTACTGCGATTAAATAAAAGGTTCAAAATAATT